GGCACTGCTCATTAAGAGTAATAGTATGCCTTTTAGCCATAAATCAACCTATTACAAATAACTAAACTATTGCACCCTGTAAAGGTAAACCTTTTATTTTGCAAGATGAGAAAGCTGTACTGAAGTTCTGCAAAGAATATCATTATTTTAGGTCGCTTTCCAACAAAACATCCATTGTGATCCAATTTTCCTATCCCATTCAGAAATTGTAGGAGACAACCTATTTGTGTAAGACCTCAATTCTTGCCTTATACAGCAATCTGGTGAAGCAGAGATCCAAACTTTTTATCTGATTCACACCGTCATTTAACAAGTGAAACAGTACGTTCATAGAGTTAAATATCCAGGACTGACTGCATGAGAAAAACCATGTTTGTATGCAAGTTATTCTCAAATACTTGATCTTGGTCCATTCAGACTACCATAACAAAATACCATAGACTGGTGGCTTATAAATAACGAAAGTTTATTTCTCACAGTTCTGAAGACTGGGAAGACCAAGATCAAGGCACCAGCAGATTTGGTGTCGGCTAGGGGCAATCTTCCTGGTTCACAGATATCTTTTGACTGTGTCCTTACATAGTGGAAGGGGTGAAGGAGCCTTTTGGGGGCCTTTTTTATAAGGGCACTAATCCCATTCACAAAGGCTCCACCCTCATGACCTAGTCACCTCCCAAAGTCCCCACCTCCTAATACTATCACCTTGGACGTTAGGATTACAATTTATGAATTGTGAGGGGACATAAACATTCATTCCATTGTATACTCTTTTAAAATATATCTAATCAAAATCAGTCTCTTCATTACGAAGTATATTATAGGAAGATCTTTCAATAATGAAACTCACCTGACACACCACTTTTTCCTGGTAGTCATTCGCTCACACCTCAAGTTATTCCTCTAACCATGAAGAAAACATTCTATTCCATGTTTAATCTCTCTCTCCTTCCCTCTCCTCTCAAGGGCCTCACTCAAGGCTGCTGGCAAGGCAAATATATTAAGTACGCTCATAAAAAAGCCCACTAGTCAGATGGTCCCTCTGACATAATGGAGATACTGTTGTTCCTTGAAGGTTTGGGGGTAGCAGGTCATGGTCTACTCTGCGTCCATCTAAAAAAGGTCTGAGGAAAGAGACCAACTAACTTCTTTCTCTATAGAACCTTCTTTGTTAGTTATTCCAAAATACTCTAGCTTTGGAGCACAAGTGATAATAACCCAAATGATTCTTTTAACTCAAATCATAATTGAAAAATACAAGAAACAAAACCATGGCTAAAATATTTGTATGAAAAAAAAAATCTCCTTATTCTTAGATGACTTATTTCTACCTGCAAAAAAAAAAAAAAATGATGTTTAGCCTGCTTCAAAGTTTGATGATATAAAAGTTAGTAAGCTACAGGAATCAGATATTTGGGATGGTAAGAGCAACCTTAGATTACAAAAGGCCAGCTGCTTCACTGCACAGATGAGAAAATAAGGAAGAGAGAAATTAGGTAGCCCCAGTTTGAGGTAAGTATGACTAGAACTTGAATGTACTGATTCTCAATTAATACTGTCTGCGTCTCTCTCCTAAACCCACAAGGAAGAAAATGTATTAACGTTACCTTTTATAACAATAACTCAAAGAATTTTTATTCCCAAACAGAAATTTAGCAGAAGTTTAATCCCACATTTTTTAATACTATAGCATCACAGATTTTTAAAAATTGAAATTGGAAGAAGCATTTATTATAATTTATTATAATTCCAGAGAATGGCTTACTGAACCTAAACAAGCATTAAATCAAGAAAATTCATCAAACAGATGATAATGCTACATTATTAAATAATATTTTGTTACTTGTCATCAAGCCAACAACATAATATAATGGTAAATACTACAATTTTCATTCTAGGAGAAACATCCAGTTTTTTGGGGTTTTTTTTCACAGCAGATATTTTACTCTGTCAACCAAGTAATATCTACAGTGGCCCTTTCTCTCCCTACCCAGAACTAAGTGTAGTATAAAGACTATGCTTAAAACCACCAAGCTTTGGGTTATTCACAGACTCAGCCAAACGTCTTTGAGTTGAGGCTGCTCCATTTTAACCAACCATGCTGGGCATCCACATTGTTGTCCATATGGTACTATAACATGGCATTGTTCTGGCCACCAATGCCTCACTCTCAACACCCTAAAAGTGAAGGAGAAAACAAAAAGACAGAACTGTTCAACTGGGCGAAAGCCCAATTCAGTCCATTCTTTAGTGTTTCTCTTTATAGAGAGAAATATATAAGACTGAGGAGGAGGTATTCAAATTCACAATTTTAGCCTCAACAAGGGCATTATAGATCCCATTTAATGGAAAAAAAATATCTCGGACAATCAGGTATTTCATAGATATGTTCTTAGCTTTGAAAAAAATTATGATAGAAAAAGAAAAAGGAATAGAATTCTGAGGGAATTATTCCTATAATAAAAGCATTTCATTTTACAAAGGGATACACAACAGGTTCTTTTAAATCATGTTATACACTATAGAATACCACAGAAGAAAAAGATGTATGTACAACATGTTAGAAGAGTACTGAATGTGAGTCTTACCAGTGAGAACAGTATTGATTCATTCAAGTTATGTTGATTCAGGCCCTTGATGGATGCTGAGATGAAAGGCCACAGGTTGGATGTCGGTATATGTCATTTAGGTTTAAGGAGAAAAACATGCAGAGCTTATAATTCTGGATACAAATATACACTTGAATTTTCAAAGACTCAAGAGAATCTGAATGGTTAAAAACAGAACTGTCACAACTATAGCAAGAAACAAAGTGGACACTCTTCAAAAAGTCAGTAGCACCTGTGGTATAGGGACCCTATAGAATTATATTATTCTGAACATTAATGATAAACTTTCACTTTCCACATAAGCCATTAGATCATCTCTATCTGAATCAATGGTCTGAAAGAAACTGACCACTCTCTACATATCAGTAGGAGGACATTTGTTGTGACTGATAGATGCAAGCAGCTGACCCCTTTGTATAAACTCTAAGTCATGGGATTATGCAAAGGAAGAAAAAAAAATGCTCAGGAAGAGGAAAAATGAACTTCTAGTTTTCAATTATTACATCAGTTTTAATTTTTTTAAAGCAGAGAAAGTCTAAGTACAAAGCTGTCTCTATTCTCTACTTTTATTTTTCTCCCATCTGTTGAACAGCCTGGAATCAGCTTTCCGCATACAGGTTATTACTTGACATGCTTTTGTTTCCCAAAACATAAGATTACATATCTCTTTCAAATGCATCAGCTAGCTAAAAGTGATCCCAGCCAGAATTTATCAGTCAGAAATGATCAGATACCATTTGGCAACTGTGTGGATCTCCTACTATGTGTCAATACAGAGCAACCTGCTGTTCCTGAGAGACTGTTTTTGGAGAGATTGCAAGGTTAGATATGAGCTCCTATTTTCTGTAAGTAAACATCTGCTCTAGATACAACTCTAAACCAGCAAACACACCCACTTTTTCACAGTAAGTGTTGGTGCTAGATAGGACCAATGACATATCTATGCTAGATTCAAATTATTTTAATATAGGTCTTTAAATCCATTCCCCTGTAACATCAATCTGCATGTGAATAGCTCACTTAATTGTAAGCAACAATATTGCCATTGAAAAATGCACCTTCCTTAAACAAAAGATACTTTTTGTTCCTATGAAGCTTTGTCTGTTGCCATTTCCAGCAACACAGGACACAAAAGACAAATTCTGCCATCCTCAACAGTGGTTTTAGACAAACAGAAACAGCAAACAAAATAACAGCAAAAGCTTAAGAAACAAAACCAAGGTGAGTTGGGGGCGGGGGAAGAGATGGAGTGGAAGTGAGAAATGAAGTCTAAACTCTACTCTGTGATCTAAGAAATCCAGCCTTAACTGA